ATGTGTACTCCAAAAGACATCAATTGATTCATGTTTTATTCGAATAATTATTTACATTTAGGATATTTATAATTAGTATTTCTTAAAAACTTGGAGTCTGAATTGATAATGAAATTGTTTCATGGTTGATATAATATTTTTATAGTGCTTTATTTAATTCATTTGAGTTACTACGCTAGGATTCAAATATTTTCGGTTTATGGCCTAAGTTGAAAAATTCACCTAGACCTAATTACTTGAAATTTTGAGGTGATTCTAGTTGAAAACGATAGCCGTATGGTAACTATCTCTCGGAGTTAGAATCACAAATTTTGGATCTGTAAAACTCAAGTTATGAACGTTTTCCTGAGAACGTCCAGAACGTACTCGAGAACAAATAAATTTTGTTTTAAAAACAATTTTGACCAATTTGTCGATTGAATTTATATACAAAATTTTAACTTGTAATTCTTCTATGTGTAAGATGTCTATGGTTTGAATTTTGTAAATTTTGGATCTCATTTTGTTGTCGAACGAGATTTATTTCAGGAAGTCGTACAGGTTGAAAACCTAAACTTTTTGAAAGAAAATTTCTTTCATTTTGTAATGGGTTCTCTGAAGTCTTAATGCTTTTAGTACAAGTTAAATTTCTGTATTTTATGAACTATTTAGATAGAATTTTACACATTTAAGGTCTTTGTAATGTCACGAGTCGCTAGAACGTTACAGGTACTGCAATGGACAACAATATTATACCATGGTGGAATAATGATGGATGAGACAGTGGTTTTGTTAATGAGTTAGCGAGTTGATCGTCAGAGTGGACATGGGAGACATGAAACTTATTCTTTGCAACTTGGTCACAGATGAAGTGGAAGTCAATGGCGACTTTATCCTAGAGATCTCGATATAAAGCTCGAAGAGAAGATTTTGAACCATTTAAGCTCAATGATGAATGAAGCAACGAGTCGATATTCAGCTTTAGTAGAAGAACGGGACAACTATATTTGGCTTAGATAGAAGAACGACAACTATATTCTGCTTCATGTAACTCCAACTAATTGGTGTGGTACCTCGGAAGACAAGGTAGGTAGAATGGAAGTGCAATCATTAACATCACGTCCAAGTCCGCGTTGACAAAGGCATGTCAAATTAGAGGGGCAAAAATTTTGGATGAGAATACCATGACTTGACATTTCCTTTAGGTATTGAATTACTCTTTTCACCGTAGCTTAGTGTTGCATGATAAGTTGATGCATGAACTGAGATAATTTGTTGACCGCAACCGGCATGTCATAAAGGGTGAAAAATAAGGTACTACATTGCACCAAGAATTTGATGGCTTTTAGTAGCATTGGCAAGAGAGCGTAGTCTTGAAGTTATTTTGTGGAACTTATTAGACTGGAGACCTTTTTTGAGTATAGTATATTTGTACGATGTAATAGGTTAAAGAATGTATTTCTATTGAGATAGGAAGAAACCTCTAAGGTGGAAAATGTTTTAACACCAAGGAAATAGCTGAGATGGCCAAGATCTTTCAAGGGGAAGAATTTGGCAAGTAACGTGATAAATTGTTGGAGGGCATTAGAGTTTCATGTGATAAGAATATAATTGACATTATGTGGGTTTCATTAGGATAAATAAAGAGAGAGGTGCCAACATGGGGGTCAGTAAAGCCATTGGTGAGAAATATTACATTAAGTTTGTAAAACTAAGCTCATGGATCTTGGAGGATACCATTTAATACTTTCTTGAGCTTTCACATATCCTTTGGTCTTTGACCATCAATAAAACCTTCGGTTGTTAAATACAGACATAATCAGTTACGGTAACTTGAAGAAACACATTATTGATTTCTATGATTAGCCTATGACAAAAATGGTGAGAATAGTGTGAACGCTCTTTGATTTCACAATCAGAGTGAACGTATCACAAAAGTCAATTTCAAGGTGCTGGTGAAAGACTCTTGATACCAAGCTGCTTTTGTAGCGATAAATGATTCCTTTCGAGTTTTGTTTTATCTCGTAAATCAACTTACAACTAACAATATTTTGTGAGGAGAGAGGTGGGGTGTGATGAGAGTCTGTGTAATTAAGGACAAGGGCATCAAATTCATTACTCATAGAGTGGCGCCAGTGTGTATATTTTTGGGCCTAGGTAAAAGAGGTCGGTTCCATACTGTCTACAGGGAAAAGTGTGTGCAAGCCATATCTTGAGTTAGGTTTTGTAATGTAATTTTTTTAGTGAGTGGCCATATAGTAAGAATGAGTATTATTAGGAGGGGCATGAGTAGTGAATGGACATACTGGAGTGGGTAATGGTAGCTTCTTGATGACTTGTATCTTTGGCCTATCTACCTCAATAAAACTTGTTGATATCAAATGTCCCAACATGATCCATTCTTGAACCATGAAATGACATTTTTCCCAATTTAGCAAGAGGTTGGTGTCCTTTTACCACTGCAGTACTTGCCTCAAATGATCGAGACATTCCTTGATAACTTCCCAAAGATCGAAAAATCATCCACGAGTACCTCAATGATATGCCCCACCATGTTCGAGAAAATAGAGATCATACAATGCAGAAATGTGGCTAGGGTATTGTATAAGTAGATGGGCATCCTCCTATAAGCAAAGGTACTATAGGGGCATGTGAATATAGTCTTCTTCTGATCATCCGGTACTATAAGAATATGGTTGTATCCCAAATATCCATCCAAGAAGCAATAATATGTTCGTCTAGAGAGCTCTCCAACATCTAATTAGTGAAAGGAAGTGGAAAGTGATCATTTCTCGTTTCTCGTAGCTTTGTTGATTTTATGATAATCAATGAAAACTCTCCATCTCGTAACTGTTCGCGTAGGAATGAGCTCGTTGTTTTCTTTGGGAACCACAGTGATTCATCCTGTCCTTGGTACAATCCATGCTAGATTGACCCAATGACTATCAGATATATAGTAAATGACCCCAGCATCCAAGAGCTTCAATACTTCCTTTCTCAAAACCTCCTACATAGTCGAATTTAGTCTATGCTGATGCTCAACTGAGACTTTGTATTCTTCTTCAATTAAGATTTCATGCATGCAAAGAGACGGGCTGATCCTTTTAATATCCGAGATAGTCAATCCAATTGCTTTCTTGCGTTCTCAAAGCACTCTCAATAGCTGATCTTCCTCTATTTCTATGAGAATATTCAAGATTATAATGAGAAATGAATTTTTCTCCCCAAATATGCATATCGCAGGTGATTGGGCAACTGTTTGAGCTCAAGTGTTGGAGGTTGTTGAACAAATGGTAAAAGTTTTTGGCACCATTACTGAACTCCATCCATGGTTGCTTGAAGAATGGAGGTATGGCTGCCTAGCATCATACACATTCTTCTACTTCCTCTTTTTTATGGCAAATACTGAGAGTACACCAAACAAGCCTCAAAAGGTTACTGGGGTGATCAAGTCTATATGTTTCTACCACCGCATCTTTGATTACATCTATATATATGAATCATGTTCGTTACAGAATTTGAATGCTCTAAATACATTGATTATCAATTCATCTTCATCTAATATCAATATTAGCTAGCCTTTCAGTACATTTATTGAAGCTCTTCCTGTAGTCAAAAATGAGCGACCCAATATGAGAGGAACATCTTGATCTTCCTCCACATCCAGGATAATGAAGTCTATTGAGAAGATAAACTTGTCGACCTTCACTAAAATGTCTTCACAAATACCTTGAGGGTGTTTGATCAACCTATCAGCCAACTACAGTGAAACTATAGTGACTTTTTCTTCTCCCAAATCTAGTTTCCTGAAAAAAGACAAAGGCATCAGTGCTTGCTTCTAAATCTTATAATGCTTTGTTTGTACATAAATTACCAATGTTATAAGGAATAGTAAAACTCCCTGGATCTTTTAACTTCGGTAATAACTTATGCTGGAAAATTGCACCGTACTCCTCTGTAAACATAACCTTCTAATTTTCTCCAACCTTCTCTTGTTTGATAGAATATTTCTTATGAAATTGGCGTAGCTAGGCATCTGAGCTAAAATTTCGGCGAACGATATGTAGATGTGCAGCTTCTTGAACACATTCCAAAATTTCTAAGACTGTTTATCGAGCTTATGTTTTTGCAGTCGCTGTGTGAATGAGATCGGAGACATATATGTTTTGACCGGAGCGATTGCCTTCACCTATGGACTATCCGATGACTCAACTTGATAGTGTCCTCCTTGTCCCTAATTATTAGACCACAAAAAGTTTGGATGGTTCCTCCATCATTCCATCCCAGATTATAAGTTTGGAGTCGAGATTGTTCTGTTGCCTCGAAAAGTTCTACATGTAGCTAATTTCTTCAGATTAAATAACATATGTAGATGCCAAAGGGCATTGTATAGTAGTGTGATCTGTCCCTAACCTTCACAAACAAGTGGCAATTGGTATACCATGTTAATTAACTAAAATAGATTATCCAATTAGTTGTAAGAACTTCTAATTGTGCAGTCAATGCTGTCATTGCATCAATCATTTTCCTTTGAGCTTTTCTGTTGATTGGGCACATTGATTGATTTTGTGTTATCTTTTCATATATTTCATTGGCCTCATCAAAATCAAGTTTTATCATTGATGCTCTCACTAAAGCATCTATCATATTTTCGAACTCTTGGTATAGTTTGTAATAAAAGTGATATTGTTGAGTCTGCTTAGGAATGTCAAGATTTGGACATCTCCTAAACAAATTCTTAAAAATCTTCCATGCTTTTGGATAGCTCTCGAGATCTTTTTACTTCAAAGTGTGGATTCCATTTGTGATTTGATGAACTCCATAATGTGGAAAAAAAACTTCATGGTAAAATTTTGAACTATATCATTCCGTGATTGCATGCTCCTTGGAGGTAAGCGGAGGAACTATTCTCTTTCAACATTCTTCAAGGTATGAGGAAATAATGGCATTCAAAATGCGTTTACTGACATCTTTTCGTTGCTGATAACCTCACACAACATGAGAAAAGTCAAAATATGTTAATGAGGATTTTTCATGGGTTTTCTGTAAAACCTGATGTTTTGATGATTTTGAAAAAGATTTATGAAATTCGGTCTAAGGTAAAAGTTAGGCTGTTCAAATGGAGGATATACTACGGCAAGTTGTACTGGTGCAAGAATTGGATTTATTAAATATCCAACTAGAATAAGAGCTTCATTAGCGATAGCTCTTAATTGATTTGGTTGTAGTAGCTGACAATGAACTTGAACCTGATTCTGATTGTCGGCCATTCTTCTTGCTTAACACTGTTTTTCCTGCGATTTTTGAATGTCCTTTCTATTTCGTTATCTGTCGGAGTTTGATCAGTCTTTTCAGAAGATTGCATAAATCAAGTTCACCCAAAAAGAGTCGGAACACAAGAGGATTAAGCAGTGTAATAATAGCCTAAGCGATAATGGTAAAACTGATAGTGATTAAACGATTCAGAAAATAACTTAATGGCCAACATATAATATTTCACAAACTTCAAGGACTAATGGTGAAATTCACTCGTTTCATTTGGTTCATAGTCTTCAGTCAAGGACATTACCTAATTCTCAATGCAGAAAAATGGCTGCAATCTCCTCCTGTCTCCGGTACCTCTCCAAACCATCTGAGCTTCACAATTCCTCCTCGCCAACCACTAAAAACCTATCAATTTTCAATCGTTTACCAGCCTCACTACCTCGACGCCACTTCAAACTCACTGTGCAGTTTCCTCTGAAACCACCCTCAGTCTCTTCTCTCTTCATTAAACCCCACAAACCCCTCCAGCACAATTTCTGCGACAACTCAGTAAAATGCCTTTTCACGGGCATAGTTGAAGAAATGGGCACTGTTAAAAATCTGGGCTTTGACCAAAACAATAGTTTCACCGTGAAGATCCAGGCAAAGGTCATGCTTGAAGACATTCACTTGGGAGATAGCATCTCGATCAATGGAACTTGCTTGACAGTTACAGAATTCGACAATGTTTTATCCGAATTCTGTGTTGGGTTATCCCC